GGCTTTCGGAGATCTGTGCAAGCATCTGGCAAGGAGTAAGGAAAGGTAGTCCAGGAAGCCAAGGGCAGCTCCCAAAACCCAACCCCTCTCGCCTCCTCCAGAAGCACTTTCCTGGCCTCACCCTTCTAGGCCACCGGGATACCATTTTTATGGATACCTGGGCTCATTTGGATGGTTTCTTACACCATTGCCCAATTGCCTTCTATCCAAGCCTTGTGCTCTGACCAGACCATGAGTCTCTGGAGGTGAGGGCATCTGTGTGCTGAGGCAAATAGGTCTGTCATCTGATTGCTGGGGGCACATGTGCATGCATGTATATATGTGCATATGGCCTCAAAGGCAAGCCCTTGCCTCTTGCTACTGACTCTCCTGGGTCTATTACAGGCTCCTCTGTGATCCCACTCCTAGCAGATGTTTTGCTCTGGCTCTTCTCTGGGAGATTTGATCTTCCTACCTCTTACCTCTTTCCTGCAAATTTATTGATTTGAATGATTTATGTACTCGTTTCATAACATAGCTGGGCATAGGTCAGAGCATTTGACAGAAATCAGTTGATTTCCTCCTTATGACAGTGCTGCTAGTCAGGTACTGTGGTTATCCTCATTGAGCAGATAAGAAAACGGAGGTGTGGCATGGTAAGGTGACTTGCTAGTAAACCATGGAGCAGGAATCGAACCCAGGTTGGCTGACTCCAGGGCCCATCCCTCCTCCCACCATATTATACTGTCCAGCAGCTCTCTGATGTTCCAGGGTAGTGGTTTGTGGGAAAGAATGATCCAGGATCCCGACCCCAGCCCAGATCGAGTGCTGGAAATATCCCTGAGCATCTGGAAGCTCAAGATTGAAACCATTAGTCAGAGTGCGAGGAAATGGGTGTTTTTGCCTTATGCAATTTGGTTTTATGAAGACCACTAAATGCAAACATTCTCCTGTTAATTACTGTCTCAAATTTGGACTGTAATTGAGGGAACGAGAGCTGGGGAGAGTGTAGAAACCCGTTGGAGTGGCAGGCCCGCCCGAGTCAGCATTCCCAGCCGCCTTGCATCCGCTCTGTTAATTTTAGAAACTCCTCTAGCCTGGGTGTATTATTAGCTTTATGTACAGAGGGCCACATGGCCCTCAGTGGCCTTTCTATGCACAGTTAAAAAAATTTGTTTTCTTTTGTTTTTCCCAAGAGATTAAATGAAGAGGGATGACAGCAGAGTGTATAGAGGGGTGTTTGTGCGCTGTGCATGTGAATGGGGATACCTGCATGTGGCATCTAATGAGTGTACACAGCTGTCTTTGAGTGAGCTCCATGTGGCTGGGTAGAGCATGCATGGCTCTAGGGCACCCCATAGGTGCTGAAACCATTCTCCTGGGGCCCATGACTCATTAGCAGATGTGCTGTATTCTTTGTAGTGAAGTGTGAAGCTGAGGGTGGGTCCTCAGGCCTTAGTTGGGTTCTCTCAGCTGGCATACGGGTACTGGGGCCACAGGAGGGAGTGGTGGGTCATGGGATAGAGTGAAGCTGAAGTTGGCCTCTTGGCATCCAGCCTTATCCCCCATAAGGCCCTGTCTTGAGGCTGTGGAGAGCTTGGCTTTCAAAGGAGCTGCAGAAAGCTGACTCTCTGGAAACTGCCCTTCGCCACGCAGCGTGATGTAGGACAGCCATCTCACCCACCTTCAGCGAAACAGGTCCTACCCTCTCCTTGACTCACAGCCCCATTTTGAGTCTGGCAAACAAACGAACAATTTGCTCTGAAGTAATTTCTTTGCAACCTGGAACTCTGCAGGCAGGGGCACTTTGGTTTACAGTGAGACCCTCTGAAGACTCCAGGAAAGCTTATCGCTTTCTTTCCCACTTCCTTCCTCCCGGCTTCCCTGCAGTAAAGAATCAAAGATGGTAGGAAAGTTATTTCTCCTGGGAGAAGACATGCTTATTTCTGCGTGACTTAATACCTTTATCTGTTATTGTGTAAACGTCTAAATTAATAGCAGAGGGAGACACCCCTGCAGTGCAAGTTTTTGGTCTTGGGGCCAGCCCTGGTATGGCTGGTACTTGGGCAGGGTCCCTGGGAACAATTGGCCATGCCTTCTGGATTGGGGTCTTGGCCACCTGTGTTGTTTCACACTCCAGAAGGCCCCCTGCTTGATGAGTTGGGAGAAACCCAGCGCAGACCTGTGAGTTGGCATTGTGCCTCCTCCTCATGCTGCTCAACTTCTCTGAGGCTTTGCCCTGAGGCTCCCTCTACGAACGACTTGAAGGTGCCTGAGGCCTTAGGAGAAATTATTCTGGAGGCCCCGGGCTGGTCTCTTTCTATCACATTGAGTGGTACCTCACTAGTGCCTGAAATCCCCCCATTAATTCTTGTTTTGAAGCTATCTCTCCCCCTCCACACCCCCACGTTAGGATGCAAACCTCTGAGGGAAGGAGATGGTCAGACATTTTCTGATTATAGGGGAGTGGACTAAAGGGAGATGCCAGAGAACCAGTGTGGGAGAGGGCCAGATCAGAATGATAGGATTCATTACACAGTGAGGAAACTGAGGCCCAGAGTAGGGAGGCCCTATTGGATGTCACACAACATGTTGATGACAAAGCTGGGGCTGGAGCCTGGGCCTCCTGCCTCCCAGGCGCCTGAGTTGTGTCTGCACCTCCCCTGCTCTTTGGTCATGGTCTGTGGAATGTCTCCCTGACAGCCCGTCTCAAGCCACAGCTGACCCTCAGGGAGGATGGGGCAGCCTCACCTGAGCCTGGGGTGGTGTGGGGTGAGCTGCTCCTTTTGCTGAAACAGCCTCTTGCTTCTCTCTGAGTGTCACTGATTTGCATTTCAGCCTGACTCTCACTATGGGGTGGGGATGGGAGGAGGAAGCTTGTTGTTGGGGGTTGTGGGAACTCACAGAAGGGCAGCACGGAGGGTATCCTTAGTGAATGAAGAGCCTCTTGCTGTGTCATTCCCTGTGCTAGTCTTCACATCTTGCCCTGGTACCCATGTGCCTATCTTCCTGTCTCGGAACCTGCCAAGACTTCTCTCTCCCAGATGCTGTCCCTCAGATCTTCCTCCCTTAGTCTGTAACTTGTCCTCTCTATCCTCCTGGCGACTGACCCCTGTGTCTCTGGGCAGATTTTACTGGGACCTGACCATGCTGCTGCTGATGGTGGGAAACCTGATCATCATTCCTGTGGGCATCACTTTCTTCAAGGATGAGAACACCACACCCTGGATTGTCTTCAATGTGGTGTCAGACACATTCTTCCTCATCGACTTGGTCCTCAACTTCCGCACAGGGATCGTGGTGGAGGACAACACAGAGATCATCCTGGACCCACAGCGGATTAAAATGAAGTACCTGAAAAGCTGGTTCATGGTAGATTTCATTTCCTCCATCCCCGTGGACTACATCTTCCTCATTGTGGAGACACGCATCGACTCAGAGGTCTACAAGACTGCCCGGGCCCTGCGCATCGTCCGCTTCACGAAGATCCTCAGCCTCTTACGCTTGTTACGCCTCTCCCGCCTCATTCGATATATTCACCAGTGGGAAGAGGTGAGTGGTCAGTGCAAACCTCTTGGGGGAAAGGCCACTCCCCACAGAGGGAGTGAGGAACTGGCAGGGAACCTCAGATAATTGAACATGGGCTGTCAGATTGTGGCAGGCACACCTGCTCTAAGAGGACAAATACTAGTAATTTCTTGACTTCTTATGTGCTGGATACTTTACATGCAGTATCTCAGTGAAGTCTGTAACAGCTATAGAGGGAACCATATAGGTACATGTATATACTCATTTTTCACATGAAGAAACAGAGAGACAGGAAGATTAAGTGACTTATACAAGGTTGCATGATTAGTAATTTGTGAGCCTGGAATGTGAACTTAAGCCGATCACCTCCAGAGCCCACATTATTAACCACTGCGTTATGTTGTAGGGTTTGTAAATCCATAAGCTTGTTGGGGACAGGCAGGGAAAAGGGATGGGGTGAAAAGGGCCAGTTGGGGAACAGTAGACAGTGTGGTGGATGAGAAGAACTAGAGAACATCTCCGTCTATATTGGATGGCCTCTATGCAGCTCCAGCTAAATTTTGTTCAAGTGGGAATGGGCCCAGGGTTGCTAGTTCTACAGCATTATGAGAAACGGAAATCTGGATTTTTGTACAAATTTTGTTGGCAACTATCTTAGTTTGGGTTCTTCCTGAGCAGACCCTGAGACAAAGATTTGCATGAAAGTGATGTTTTTGGGATGCATTCCCAGGAAAATCTGGTAAGGGGGTGGGGGAGAGGGACAGGGAAAGGCAGAAAGCCAAGCAGTAGTTGGACATTGGAGGGTGTTCTGTGGAGGGCTGTTTGCCTCAGCCCTGTGGGATCCGAGGATAGTGTGCGCCACACCTTGGAGCTGTCCCAGTCAGGGCAAGGGAGTTAGAATGTTTATATCCCCTTACCTGTCAGTCACTGGTTCAAGGCACTGCTAGCCCTCAGCACTTGCAGCCAAAGCAGTTTCCAGCAGCCCGGGCAGGCCTCTGACAAAACGTGCGGCCACTGGCTGTAGAGAGTGAAATCACGCAGGCAGGCTAGAGTCTTGTGTTCAGATACTGTAAAGGGATCCTAGGGGCTGTGAACACTGGCTCCAGGAGGAAAATAAAACATTGAAAAAGAACTGGGCGGGCCAGCTCCGTTCTGAACAAACTTCACTCATCCATGGGCTGAAGCAGTCGTCTGCAGCAGAGGAGCTAAGGGCTTTGCTGGGAGGAAGAGCAGCTGACCTTGCCAAGTGCTTCAGTCTGTGTCTGCCACCCACCCAGGTTACATGACTTGGCAGCAGTGGCAGGCAGGCCAGCCTGGAGGGCCCACTCTCTGTGAGATAGCCCACCTTGGGGCTGGGCAGTCTGTGGGTGGAACAAGCTTCCATGGAGGGCCATTTCCTGCTCCATCCCTGTGCCGTGTGGCTGACTTCCCAGCCTCCAGGACCCCTGCTTGCCTGGGCAGAAGTTCCCATGCTCAGGACATGAAGCCCCCTACCCTCACCCCCAACAGCAGCCTGGGCCTCGGCTGGCAGCCCCTGTGGCTGATGGTAGAGGCACGGGCAGATTCAGGTCAGAGGCGTCATGAACACATGTGCCACGGGAGAAGTGTGTGCACCAGTTTGGCAGCATCGCTCCATGGCAGAAATTCTCTTTGGCTTGGCAAATTTGCATTACTGATGCTAACAGATAGGGGCCGTGACTCTCCCAACGTCATGCAGTTAGACCTCTGGTAGAACTGGGGCAGAATCCAGCTAGCTTTCTTGGCCCCCAGCACATAGTGTGGGCTGTCCCACCCCGGTGTAGTGGAATGGCACTTTTAAGACCCAAGTTAAAATCTGGCTCCACGCTGCCTAGCATGTAGCTTTGGGTCCACTTTGCCTCTCTGTGCCTCAGTCTCTTTATCTGCAAAATGGGTGTAAGTTGTACCTGATGTTTATAAAGCCTTAGCATGAAGCCTGCTGCAGAAGAACTGTTTAATATGTGTCCCTCCTGGCCAGGCGTGGTGGCTCACGCCTATAATCCTAGCACTTTTGGAGGCCAAGATGGATAGATAGCTTGAGGCCAGGAGTTCAAAACCAACCTGGCCGACATGATGAAACTGTGTCTCTACTAAAAATACAAAAAAATTAGCTGGGTGTGGTGGTGGGCGCCTGTATATTTATGATATATACACACACACACACACACACACACACAGATACACACACACCTCCCTCCCCACCAAGTTGTCTTAGTAACATTTCTTTGGTTCCTCACACCTAGCTGGCAAGAGAAACAGGGCAAGATTTATGATCCTCATATGTCAAGTGAGGAAACTGAAGATCCGAAAGGCCAGCCGCCCCAGTGGTAGGGCTTTTGGCCTAGGCCTCCTGTCTCCCGGTTCCATGCACTTCCCGCTTTCTCAGATGGCAAGAGAATGACTTTGATTCTATGATTGTTTCCTTTCATGGCTGGGGTGCCTCCATGGGGGACTGGACTTCATTCAGTCCTGCAAGTGCTTGCCGGGCACCCACCTGTGCTGTCCTGGGTCGGGGCTGGGATCAAAGCACTAGGATGACCACTAGCAGAGAGTGGGAGGGCAGCGGCAGGGGAGGAGATCTGTGCAACAGGTCGAGTTGGAGGTGCCTGTGGGACAGAGATGTGCAGAGATGTGGCAGATGGTCTGAGCTGAGGGCTAAGAGGGGACAGTGACTCTGGAGGGTGGCGGCTGGGTCCACGCTGAGGGACTGTGAAAGAAGGATGGAGGCGTGTTTCCCCTTATGCCCTGACACACTTGTCTCCTGGTTTCCGTCCCAGGTGGAAATGTAGGACAGGTTGGCTCCCTCAGACCCTGAGAAACCCCCAACCTTCTGCATGTCTTGGACCCACAGCTAGACTGCCAGGAAAAGCAGAGACATGCCAGCTCCTTCCCTCCACTGGCATCCATTTGTGTCTCCAGGCCTCAGCCTCCCAGGGGCCAACCTTACTCCTCCAGGGCCTGGGGGCTGTGGTCTTTTGTAGGAGCTGGCAGAGATGCCAGAGGCTGGACAGGGTGAGTCCTGGGTTGGAGCTAAGCTTGTCTTTCACGTCCCCACATTACGCATCCTGGGAGGTCAGGCCCAGGGCTCCTGTGCCCACTGCCACCCTGGCCTAGCCACCCTCTTGGGCACCCAGAACTGGTCAGGTGTGGTCCTGGCCTTTCTCTGGGGGAGGCAGAGGCCCCAGGACACCTTGGGTCAGGCCTCTGAACTAGACATGCCGCCCCATCTCATGTGCAGGAAGGAGATCCCAGGAGGCCAGATGGATGACTCTCAACCTTCCACACGCAAACCTTTCTCTCTCCTATCAGCTGGGGAGAAAATTGCTTTGAGCTAGTTTCTGCCGGGCACACCGCCCAGCCTAGGGCTCTCACTGGACCCCTGAGATTGGACTGGAGTTTCCCAGCTGGCCCCAGGAACCCTGTCTCCAGGACCATAGCCGGCCACTCCAGCCCAGGGGCATCTCCCACCTCCGCTTGGCCCAGAGGCAGCAGCAGAAAGACCATTTGAAGCCCTAGGTCCGTGTGAGAGCTGAGGAGAGGCGTATTTAGCACAGAAAACCCTGGCCTAATCTCCTTTTTCAAGTCCGTCTATGAATCTCTTTCCTCCTTTGGGCCTCAGTTTCCCCACTTGTCAGGTACATGCTGATGTTCTCTGAAGCCGTGGCTCCCTGGGGCCCAGTCCCCAGCTCCCATCTGCCTTGGCAAGATTCATGTTAGCTGATCCTGAAGACCTTGTTGTAGCTCACAGGATGCGAAGGAGGATCCCTGCGGTGGGGCTGGGGAGCTTGCCTCCCACAGACTGGGGAAAGTTTGCCCCAGGCTGCCTGGTGAAGCTGCAAGAAGCTAGACCTCTGACCCCAGGCTTCAACTGCCTCCCCCAGCCGGGCCCAGAACAGGCGCCCAGGAGATCTCCTAAGTGTTGGTGGCAGTCAGGCAGTCTTGCGAGTCAGCGTGAGTGGAGTGGTCTAGGGCAGGTATGGACCGCCATCTTGGAGGACGTCAGCCTCTTGCCTCCATCCTGGGTGATCTGGGTCAGCAGACTCCCTCCTGAGCCTCTCCAGCCACGCCTCTTCCCTCCCTCCCTCCGAGGTGTGAGCTTATTCCAGGCATGGAGGCTATTGTTAGAAACCACGGTTACCCCTCTTTGGATGTTACCCTGCAAGGCCCAGCACTCCAGTGACCCATCCCAGAAGCCTCTCCTCTTCCTCAGCAACCTGAAGTGGCCAAAGAGGGGCTGGAGGCAGGAGGCCAGCTGGGGCTGCTGTGTGGCCTCTGATGAGTCCCCTTGTCCTGTGGGCCTTGGTTGCCTCATCTCAGAATCAGGTGCTTGGCATCTGCGAGAAGTGATGACATGAGGAGAGGTCCTGGGGCGTGGGTACTGGCCCTGTCTCCTGCACCCAGGAAGGGACCTGGCATGACCCTCAGTGCAGCTGCCTTCAGGCTGCACCCGGGATGCATATGCAGCAGCCTGTTCTGCCAGGCCTGGGGTTGTTGTCTTCAATGCAGACACTTGTTCTTGAGACACAGGTGGAAGTTGTTCTTCCATGAGGAGAAAGCGAATCCAGAGGAGGGGATTCAATCAGGCCCCAGGAAGAGGCCTTGGTGGAAACAGAGCAGCCTGACCTCTCATTTCTGGTCTCCCGTCGGAACTGAGAAATCAGCTCTTTGTTTGGAGGGCTGGGAAAGAGAGGGAAGGAAAGGAACCAACATGTCCTGAGTGCCTACCATGTGCCAGTGGTGGCTATGATCTCACCTGACCCCTGTGATAGCCCTGAGAGCTGGCAATTACTGACCCATTCCACAGATGAGGAAACTGAGGCTCAGGGTGGAAAAGGCAGTTTCCACCCAAGGTGAAAGATGTGTGGCTCTGTCCTTGCACTGCAGGTGAGAAACTGCAGAAAGTGTGAGAGCAGGGCTTCCCCAAGTTCCATGTGTGGCAGAGTGAGCTGCCTGGACCACCTGACTGGCAAGGCTTGCAGTGGCCTGGAAATGAAGGTGCTCAACCC